AAACTGTGCATTAAAAGCTGTTCCAAGTCTTCCAGTTTTCTAACTGCATGTGCCCGAAGCGCTCAGTTCGGAAGTAAAAAAAGACAGAGGACTTATCATTGTTATTTACAGGCATCGATTTCAAGATACGAACGATTGAGCTGGACGGGAAGAGGATTAAGCTGCAGATTTGGTAAGTTCTCTTTGCGTGATATTTTCCTCAGTACTGGCAGCCACTGGTCTTAAAGCTTGCCTGATTTTGACCGCTTGCGATGTGTTACTAGCCCAAACAGATTGCAGCCTCCAGGTCAACCCTGAAAGTGTGAAGGTGTAGGAAAGTGTAAAGGCAGAATGTGAAGGTGTAGGAAAAAGTAGTAGTGTAAATTACAGGAGATGAGAGCGAGATAGGACGTTTCGATCCATTAAGTCATATACGTCTTAACTCAACATTGCAACTGGATCTCGTCAGTATGGCGGTCTGAGTCCGTAAAAAAAAGAAAGAAAAAGAAGAAAAAGGAAAAAACGAGGAGGAAATGAAAGAAGATAGAGACTGAAAGAAAAGACAAATAAAGGGGGAAGAGAAGGGGAAGCAGAAAAAACGCCTGATAAAAAAGTTAACTGGAAAAGCAAGCAAACCTGGAAGTTTTGCTGTTCGAACCGTCTCCGCCATAATGTTTGTTTCGTTTTGCGATGGTCGTATAAAACCGGCCCCTTCTGCTGGCCTTTTTCTGACTGAATATTTTGCTAGCAAGCTTGACTTGCTTCTCAAGCATACTATTTCTTTAGCAGAAATTTGTCTGCGAACAATTTTTGATAAAAAAAAAAACCAAATTTTTGCTCTTCCCCGGAAATCTTTACGTTCTGTGGGCTTATACTCATCTCACTGTGACTGACGCTGATTTCCCAGTAGTTTCTTCAGTCACTAGGATAGCCGAATTCGCAGGTTTTTTTTTTTTTGACGATCGGAAATTTCTTCAGAAAACGAGTGTAGTTTTTAGGTGGCGGCGGCATTTTAATTGTTGCATTTCTTCAAACAAGCGCATTTTAGGGATACAGCTGGCCAGGAACGCTT